AGGTCTTTATGTACTAATGTACCCATTTGTCATCAGTACTGGATGTGCATGGTTGGAGGTGGGAGGCAGAGGGCCTCCGCTGCCGCTGCCCAGGCTGCAGCCCCATATTTCAAAACAAATCTAAGCCACACACAGTTAATCCCAGTGATTCTGGTGACTGAGGCAGGAGGATCACATTCAAGGTTAGCCTCTCCAATTTAGAGAGACACTGTCTCAAAAAAAAAAAAAAGGTCGAGGGGGATGTAGCTTGGTGGTAGAGTGCTTGCCTAGCATGTGTGAGACTCTGGGTTCAGTCCTCAGTACTGCAAAAACAAAAAGAAATTACCACAATTTCATTTTACATAATCCAGAGCCTTTTTTTCTGATCCCAGGTTTGAAGGTGAGTGGTTTTAGGAATAACCATTTATGTAGTCATTGAAAATTAATCAAACATCTATTTAATCTGGTGTACTGACCCTGTACTTGAGATATGGTAGTAAGATAGACAAGCTTGCTGTATGGAACTAACAAATGTCTTTAAACTTAACTTTCTATGAGCATCAGTTGTTAAGCCTCAGTTCAGGTGTTGCTTCTTCAGTCCTGTATTAAGTGCTCCCCGTGCTTTCATAGCCTTGTGGTTAGCTTTTTATTTTTATGTGGTGCTGAGGATTGAACCCAGTGCTCTGTACTGTATTAAGCCTTTATGTACTAATGTACCCATTTGTCTTCCAGGAAGCTTCATGAAGGCATTTTTTCTCATAAAGGAGCACTCAACTTTGCATCCTAAGTCCCTGGCACAGAGCCTACCTGTAAGCTTAAAAGGATCAAGTGTATCAAAAATAGTAGGAGGAGGCTGGGGTTGTGGCTCAGTGGTAGAGTGCACTGGGTTCAATCCTCACCGAGTGTGTGAGGCACTGGGTTTGATTCTCAGCACCACATAAAATAAATTAAAAAAAAAAAAGTCCATTGACAGCTAAAAAATATTTTTAAAAAATGGTAGGAGGGGAAAGTGCACGTAGCTAATTGGTGCCTACATCTGCATTTGCATAGTCCCTTGAGTTATAGGAACACTCTGAGGAGGCAGCCATGGTCAAGTTGAAAACTAGGATAGAGATTTGGAGTGAGAGGACCAGTTTCCATTCCGGAGGTTTTTGGTGTGCCACTGCTAATCCTCATAGGGGTCCGTGAGGCAGGTGGCATCATGAGGAGACGAAAAAGGACAGAGAAATGAAGTAACTCATGCCACGAGTCTCATAGTAAGTGGAAAACTTGTTTGTCGGACTTAATTATTCATTCCATTCATTTATAAAGTGGGAATGTATTTTAATTTTATTTGCACTATTCACCACACAGAATTATCAAAAGACATAAATCTGTGTCCAGTTGCTGTAAGTCAAATATGAAAACTAAGCATTTTACTTAGTTTTTCTGTTAAAATTTGTTATTTAACTTTTATGTGATCTTTGCCTGAATCTTTTGCCTGGCTTGAATTGACCTGTTTGTTCAAAGAAAGAATAGTTAATAACTGCTCTTTTTTGGTTTCTGCTCCCCAGAAATGGTCAAAGAAAAACTATATTCTGGGACAAGTGGTATGTGCACATTTAAAGTTTTACTTCCGGGCTGGGGATGTGGCTCAAGCGGTAGCGTGCTCGCCTGGCATGCGTGCGGCCCGGGTTCGATCCTTAGCACCACATACAAACAAAGATGTTGTGTCCGCCGAAAACTAAAATAAATAAAAAAAAATAAAATAAAATAAAGTTTTACTTCCCTAGTAGCTGGGGCTACAGGCATGCTACATCCTGGCTACATTTAAGATTTTGATAAGTGGTGCTGGGGTTGTAGCCCAGTGGTAGAGTACTTGCCTAGCACATGTGAGGCACTGGGTTCAATCCTAAACACAACATAAAAATAAATAAAACAAAAATATTGTGTCTGTCTGTAACTAAAAATATTAAAAAAAAAAAGATTTTGATAAGTATTGCTGAATTATCTTCCAGGAAGGTTATGCCAGTTTTTACTTCTCTCAGCGTTGTGAGCATCTGTTTCCCCACATCCTTGATGAATTTCAGCATTATCAGTCTTTTAAAGCTTAGAGGAAACCAATCAAATTTTAATTTATCTGTTTATTATTTGTGAAGTTGAGCGTCTTCTGTGTGTTGGTTGTTTGCATTTCATTTTTAACTTGTCTATTACTAGCTTTTATTGTTACATTGGCTTATCTTCTGTTGATTTGTAGGAACTCATTTATGTATTACATATATTTACAAATGTTGTAGACAGTTTTTGGTTGCCTCTATTTTAACTTTTTGGCATCTTTTTTGATTTTTATCTAGTCAGACCTTATGATGTTTATAGCTTTGGTTTTCTGCTTAGAAGGCTTTCCCCTTGCCAAGATTATAAAAGTAAATTTTAAAATTTGTTCCCTTTTCTTCCTTTTTACTCAAATATTCTGGCAGGCAAAGGAAGTGTTGAGAGCCATTCTTTGATAATATGATTAGATACTAGGATTTATCTGCATTGCATGAAATCTTTGAAGATGTAGAGTATTAGAAAGGAAATGTTAATTGGAAGGGTAAGGTAAAGTCACACTATATAAATTAATTAGCCTAATTGCTGACCTTTGCTTCTTGCATGTTTGTGTTCTACAGCTGCTCACACTGGAAAGAGTCCTAAGAAGTTGTTTATGACAATTCTTTTCTAAAAGTTTAGGTTTTTAGTACATATTGAGTGAGATCAGGATGCATTTATTTCTTTTATGCTTCAGAGTATAGGGATGTGGGGGGAGGGAGTGGGTAGAATTAGGGAAAAGGTAAGGAAAGAATGGAAAGAATTAGGAAGGAAAGGGTGTGACAGTGTTAAGAATGGCAGTAGAGATAAAATCAGAGTGTTCAGAGTTACTGATAGTTTTATTCTCTGAATTATATTTTGTTTTCTTTGGAGTTTTAAGCATTTGTGGCCCAAAACCGGGTTGTACATGGATGTTAAAAAGACCTACTATTCAAAACTTAGTACACTGATGGTTCAAGTTTTGGTATTTCCATGATGCAACTCTTTGTGTGTTTAAATAATCATCACTATTTTAGTGAAGAATCACTGTGTAATTTCAAAAAGTGAAACTGATGTGAAACCCATTTCCTTCAGAAGCTATAAAGTAGTCAGCCTTAATCTTGATTCTTTGCAAGTTATAAGGAAGGCTGTCTTTTTTAAAAATATTTTTTAGTTGTTGATAGATCTTTACTTTTATTTATTTTTACGTGGTGCTGAGAATCGAACCCAGTGCCTCACATGTACCAGGCAAGTGAGCTGCCACTGAGCCCCAGCCCCAAGGCTCTTTTTCTATTCTTTGCTTTAGTACCTCACAAGATGTTTCAGTGTTAGAGATGAGGTATCCATTCTATAAGCAGTGTTTTTGGTTTTTTTTTTAAGATTCAGACTTAATTAATGGATTTATAACTTTTCTATATTAGGAGATTTACAAAAGAGGGTTTAAAATCAGGGAAGTCTTTAATCTTTCTCTCATCTCTTATGTTAACATGCCTCTGTGCCTCATTTGTCTGCTTTGTTTATTGGCTTAGACCAAAGCTGTTTGTGTCTTGAAAAAAACACTTTGAGGTTTTTGATATCATATGAGTATGACAGTTATTGCTTAGATCCAGCAAATAATTGCCATCTTTTCTTATAAAAGTACTTTTGTAGTCATTTCTCTCAAAGAATAAAGAGAGAAGTTGGAGGGATAAAAAAGTTAAAAATTATGAACATGAAGGATAGGAAAATGGTACAGCTGTTTTTTTTTTTTTCTTCATTTTTTTGTAGTTGTAGATTGACAGAATGCCTTTATTTTATTTGTTTATTTTTATGTGGTGTTAAGGATTGAACCCAGTGCCTTACACATGCTGGGCAAGCGCTCTACCACTGAGCCTCAGCCCCAGCCCCTACAGCTGGTTCTTGAACTTAGTTCTTTGGAATTTAAGATTTCGAATTCTTATTATTTTGTGATCCTTACACCCTTGCCTGTAAACATATTTATAAATGGAGATGTTTCGGTGTTGTGAAGGGATAGTAGTTCAGCAATGAAGCTTTTTGCTGAGTCACATTGTGTTAGATTCATAATTAATTCTCATAAAGCACAGCTTGATTAGTTCCACTTTGTGTATGAGAAAACAGACAAGTTAAAGCAACTTGTTCAAGGTCACACAGATAGAAAACTCTAGATCATAGAGTCCCACCAAGTTTTTTTTTATTCTCATGTCTATTTCCTCTATACAATTGTTTCTTCAAGACCAGATTCTAGAAAGTTAGGGAAAATGCATGCAAAGTAAGAGAAAAGTTAGTAATTTTAATTATAAATTGTAAAGTTGCATTGGATTGGTGTGAATTCTAAAGATGAATATGGAGTAGAGTAAGAAGAACATATTGTAATGAGCACCCCAAGTTTTTCTTCGGAAATTTGGGAAAATCATATAAAGAAAAAAGTAACTTCAAGCTTTCCTAGCAACTAAGAGAGATTAGGGTTGAAAGAGTTATACTTCTCTTAAACTGAAGAATACATTCCATGGATAAAGATCATATTCTTCAACTTTTTGTTTTCTCCCCAGCTATGCTGGGTTATGTTGTACATACATGATCAATAAATACCTGAGACTTTGCACATGCTAGGCAAGTACTCTACCACTGAGCCATATCCCAGCCTGGCAAATTTTTTTTTTTTTAAACTTTATTTTATTTGTTTATTTTTATGTGGTGCTTAGGATTGAACCCAGGGCCTCACATGTGCTAGGCGAGCGCTCTACCACTGAGCCACAACCTCAGCCCCTCCTCCTCCCCGCAAATTGTTTTTAATGCAGGTAATCTTATCAGGTAGCTTTTCTACATTAAAATGATGTCACTGCATGCATGGAACTATCTTGGTATGGAGAAATTACTTAGGGTAAACCAGTGTGTGAGTAAAGCTGTGCCATTTATTGTTGAACTTAGAATATTATATGATTACTATTTATTTATGAGTCTTTATTTTCTCTTAGGATATTCGGAAATTCTTTGGAGTTATACCAAGTGGAAAAAAACTTGTAAGTGAAACAGTAAAGAAGAATGAGAAAACAAAGTCTGTTGAAGAAACTTTAAAAGGAAAGAAAGGAATAAAGGAAATCAAGGTCAGTTTTCCAAATGTAATTTTTTATTGTATGAAATGTTAAATAAACTGAGTTCCTAAACTTGATATACTGGGAGCCATGAGTAAATTAGATTTAATAGACAGATCATTTGGTCTGTGTAACATTTCATCTATGGTCATCTGAAATTGTGCCCTCATATGCAAAGTACATTCATTCCATCTCAGTAGCCACAAACAGTCTAAATTCATTCCAGCATTGTCTTAAAGTCCAAAGTCTCATCTAAATGTCATCTAAATCAGATATAGGTGAGATCTGAAGTATGATTCATCCTCTCTAACTGTGAATCTTTGAAACCAGATATCATGGTGAAACAGGCATAAGCTAGACCTTCCCATTCCAAAAGGGAGTCATCAGAAGGAAGAAAGGGATAGTGGGTGGTGTCAAGCAAGTCTAAAATATAGCAGGGCACATTAGATTTTTAAGGCTCAAGGATAATTTTTTTTGGTTTATGCCCTATCTTCCAGACCTACTAGGTGGTAGTTCTGTCTCCATAGCCCTAGGCAGCAGTCTTGCCTGTGTGGCTCTCCAGGACCTCTCACCTTCAAGGCTACAGATGGAGGATGTCTGGTCTGTTGAAACCAAGCGGCTTCAGGTTTCACACTGTTGAAACTGAAGAGGCAATTCTGATGACCTCTGAATTGCCTTTGCTGTTATTCTTCCTTTTTTCCCTGAAGAATATAACTATTATTCTGTCCTATAGAATCTAAGAAGTCCCACATCCTTCCTTTGTTCTGTCTCCATCCCCTTCAGTTCAAACTGGTAGTGTTTGTGCTTATGGAATCCCATAATCTCTTTAGTGCTAATTCAGATGTTTTGGGCATTCTCTTCAGAACATGCTTTCTCATTTTTTGCAGTATAAACAGGCTGAGAATTTTTCAAGTTTTAAGTTCTGGTTCCTTTTTGCTTAACAATCCCTTTTCAATTCATCTCTCTCTCCTCCATTTTACTATAAGCAATCAGCAGGACTCAAGCTACACCATCAACGTTTTGCTCTGAAATCTTCTCAGCTAAATATCTAATTTTCTTCTTTAGAAGTTCTGTCTTTCAAAATACAAGAACACAATTCAGCCAAGTTCTTTACTCTAGTTTTCAATAATTTCTTACTCTTTCCTTCCTTTTTTTTGTGTTGGGTATCAGATCTAAGGCCCTTGTGCATGCTAGGGAAACACTACCACTGAGCTAGATCCCAAGCCCTACATTCTTATTTTTATGAACATTCTGTTCATGATAATATACATATTCTCTGAGATGAAAGAAGTTTTTACTATAGCACTCATTTAACTCCTCTTTTTTTATGAGCCTTTACTGGAATTGACTTTAATGTCCATATTTCTGTTAACAGTTGTGGCAATCTAGGTTTCTTCTAGCTTGTATCTCAAAACCCTAGTAGCTCTTACCCATTACTCAGTTCTAAAGATGCTTCCATATTTTATGTATCTTATATTTATTTTATACTTTTATTTATTATATATATTTTATATATATATTTATTTGTATTTATAGCAGTATTCCATTTCTCAGTACTAAAATTTGTATTGGGGTCTCCAGAGAAACAGAACCAATAGGATATATATATATATCTCCTATGTATATATATGTGTTTGTGTGTACATATACGTATAAAGAAATTTATTACAAAGAATGGGTTCATGTGATTACAGAGGCTAAAAAGTTGCAGTTGGCAAGTTGGAGACTTGGAGAGCTAATGGTGTAGTTCTAGTCTCAAGTTTGAAGGCCTGAGAAACAGGAGAGCTAATAGTGTGGTTCTGGTCTGAAGCCTGACAAACTTAAGACCCAGGAAGGGTGACGTTCCAGTTATAGTCCAAAGGCAGGAAAAAACTGTTGTCCTAGCTGCGAGCAGTCTGGCATAAAGAATTCTTATTTAGCCTTTTGTTATTTTTAGGCCTCCACCTACTTGGTTGAAGTTCATCTACATGAGGGGCAGTGTTATGGTTTAGGTATGAAGTGTCCCCCAAAAGTTCATGGTGTGAGACAATGTAAGAATTTTCAGATATGAAATGATTAAGTATAAGAGGTCTGATCTAATCTGTGGTTAATCCACTGATGGATTAACTAGGCAATAACTGCAGGCAGGCAGAGTGTGGCTGGAAGAAGTAGGTCACTGGGTGTGTAACTCTCCCTGGTGAGCAGAGCTAACTCTTGTTTCCTGGTTCCCATGTCCTGAGCTACTTTCTTCTACCATGACCTTGTGCCATGATGTTCTGCATCACTTGTGACCAGAGCTATGGAATCAGCCAACCATAGATTGAGTCTCTGAAACTGGGAGCCAAAATATCTTTTCCTCCTTCAAATTGTTCTTGTCAGGTATTTTGGTCACAGTGATGAAAAGCCGACTGAACAGAGGGTATCTGCTTAACTTGGCCTATTATTGATTTATTCTATTTATTAAGCTCATCCAAAAGCACCCTCGCAGAAACACTTTGTTTCTGGCATACCTTGTGGTCCACTCAAGTTTGTATATAATCAGTCATTATAGGTCATATTTGTTTCTTTCTTTGTATGTCTAGTTATTTTGGATTTGTCATGGAGATTGTGAATGATATGGTGTAGGAACTTTGGATTCTGTTATATTATTCCAAAGAATGTTGATTCTTTTGGTTTATTAGGCAGTTGACTTGACTGAATTTAAGCTCTAAATTCTTGCCTCCCCTGTGACAGGCAGCTGCAGAAATCTTTATTCAATTCGTTTAACTTTAGCTAAGTGATTGGAGGTGTTCCAGAAAGGATAGGAGAAAACCAGAAATTGGGGCAAAGTTTATAATAGGCAGAATTTGGAATTCCTTTTCTGTAGTTCTTTCCTTTGGGAGAAAAACATCTTTGACTTTTGAATTATTGTAGTTGCTATTAACTCTGTTCTCTGATTTAATGATATAGATTGAATTATAATGGTTCATTTGTTCCATTTTCCAGCAAACTAGTTGATTTTATGTTTTTGAAGTTTCATTATGAATAGAAATAGCATATATTTTTACCTTTTAATTGTTTACAGGTTTTTTTTTTTTTTTTTGCTGCCTGCTTTCTTGATGCTTTTTTGGAAAATTTTAATGTTAGAAATGTGATGTTTAATTACAAAATATGAATAATGCCTTTTGCCTTGGTTTTATTTTTCCAACAGGCATTGGATAGTAGTGGGTTTCTAGTTTAGATTTTATTTCTAGTTTAGATTTTATTTTAGTTTAGGTTTCATTTTTTTAGGAAGTAATGCCTTATATAATGTTAAGATAATTTTCTGTTACTATAATAAAATAGCTAGGATAGTCAACTTACAAAGAGAAAAGGTTTATTTTGCTCACAGTTTTGGAGGTTCTAGTCCATGTTTGATTTATCCCATTGCTTTAGTATGGTGGTGAGGTAGTACATCATGGTGTGAGCATGTAACAGAGCAAAGTTATTCACTTCATGGCCAAGGGGCAAAAGAGAAAGAGAAAGGGTTCAGTGTTTCACAATCCCCTTTTGGGGACAGCTCCACCCCACCCCATCTGCCTCATAACTTAAAAAGTTTCACTGCCTCCCAATAGTGCTATACTACCCTGGCAACCAAGCCTTTAGCACATGGGTCTTTGGGGGGCACTCAAGATTCAAACTGTAGCACCTTGTCTTTTAATATCTGACATTCTTTTATTCTTTGTTACGCATTTTTGTTATTGAAAGAGGGGCCCAATAATAATATAGCTTTTTCTGTAATTCTTTACATCCTGATATAGTTATTGTGTGGCTTTTTCTTTAGTCTAGTAAGAGCATTATTAACATTTTGGGCTAGAAACGCTGTTGTGGAAGACTGTTCTGTGAATGGTAGGATGTTCAGTAGCATCTCTGGTTTACTTATTAGATGTCCCATAACCCTCCTCCCCCTCAGTTGTGATAAATAATAATGTCTCCCAACATTGACATATGTCTCCTTGGGAACAAAATTGCTCTTGAGAACCATTAAGCCCAAGACTAATCAGGGGGGAAAAATAAAGGGATGTTATATGATAGGCTTCTTTGTGTTCTAATTATATTATGATGTTTTTAGGTAAATAGCTCTTGTAAAGAGGATGCCTCCAAACAGAAGCAACCAAACAAGAAAAAGAGGATTATCTATGATTCAGGTAATAGTTCTTCTAAGGACCTTTAAAGTTTAAAAATTATTTTGTATTTCTTAGAACAGTGTTTTACAAACTGATGTTCTGAGGCACTTAGTTCTCTATGATGTTTATAAGTACTGTGAGAATAGGGCTGTACGTGCAAGTAAATTTTTTTTGGGGGGTACCTGGTATTGAACCCAGGGGTACTTTACCATTGAGCTATATCCCCAGTTCTTTTTATTTTTTATTTTGAGACAGGGTCTCGTTAAGTTGCTGGGCTGACAATGAATTTGCAATCCTGCTTCAGCCTTCTGAGTTGCTGGGATTACAGGTGTGTGCCACTGTGTCTGGCTATTAAATCAATTTTTAGGGGCTGGGGATATAGCTCAGTTGGTAGAGTGCTTGCCTCATATGCACAAGGCTCTGGGTTCAATCCTTAGCACTATTCCCCCCCCCCCAAAAAATTTTTTTTAATTAAGTAATTTTTTTTTTTTTTTGAGATGGAGGTCTTGCTATGTTGCCCAGCTGGTTTTGAACCTCCTGCCTCACTCCCAAGTGCTGGGATTATAGGCAGGTAACACTGTGCCCCTCTAAAACAATTTTATTCGATTGCAGAATTTATCAGAACATGAATGTTATATCTAATATGCATCTATTCATACATGTGTGTATATATGTGTGTATATGTGTATATGTATGGTTGTGTTCTGTGGTGCTAGAATCAATTCCAGGATGTCATATATCCCCAGCCCTGAACCTAAATATATTAATGTATTATGGTTGTTTAGATGGGGATAGAACATGTAGCATGTCTCATATTTACTTTGATTATGGTGCATTCATTCATTCATTCATTCATTCATTCGCAGTACTGAGGATCAAACTCAGGACTTCATACATACTATCCAAGCACTATATCAGCTCTACTAGCTATATTCCCAGCCCATATTTTAAAAAATAATTATTTTTTCTTTGGGCTGGAGGTTCTTGAAAGTTGAATTTAAAAAGAGTGTCTTAAAATATTTTTATTTTTATTTATTTATTAATATTTATTTTTTAGTTTTAGGCGAACACAATATCTTTATTTTGTTTCTATGTGGTGCTGAGAATCGAACCCAGTGCCTCACGCATGCTAGGTGAGCACGCTACCACTTGAGCCACATCCCCAGCCCTTAGAATATTGTTTTTAAAACAGAGGTCTAAAGTTTATTTTTTGTGTTTGATTAAAAGATGTAATCATTTTTGCTTGCATTTAAAAAGGCCTTGAACTTGTGATACTAAGTCTCCTAGTAGCTTTATTTATCTTTTGAAATGGGATCTCACTGTGTTGCTCACTTTGCTCTCAAACTCCTGGGCTCAAATAATCAACCTGTCTCAGTCTCTTTGAGTAGCTGGGATTCCAGGTATGTGTCACTACACCCAGACTTTTTATCATGATTTTGACAGTGATAGAAATTGTATTGCCTCAGTTCTAAAAGTATTTAGTATTTATTATATGTCTTTTACTGCTCTGTTTTTTTTTGGTTTATGTGTATGTATGTGCGAACACGCTCTGGGGATTGAACCCAGGGCCTTGATGCTTGCAAGGCAAGCACTCTACCAACTGAGCTATATCCCCATCCCATATTGCTCTGTGTTGTAAGGAATTTATAGAAGTGTGTGTCTATTCTCTAGGAGTTTCCTTTGTTTGGAAAACTATTGCAATATAATTGTTTGATATAATTTAAGACAGTATGAGTCAGGACTTATAAATGCATGGTGCAGAGGAAGAGGAAGGACAGCTAGTTTATGAAACATTATGCTAAGTGCTCACACTTTGTCCTGATTTATAATATTTAAGTGTTCTGGGCAATTAGGCTGTGGTGGGCAGAATAATGGTCCCCAAAGATACCTAGAGCCTAATTCCTAGAACCTGTGAATATGTTAGGTTAAGTGACAGAAGGAAATAAAAGTTACAGAGGCTAATCGGATGACCTTCAAATAGGAAGATAATCCTGGATTGAGGTGGGCTTTGTGTGCACAAGAAGTAGGAAGGCAGAAGAAGAAATTTAGAGAGAGATTATGGAGGAAGTTCAGAGAATCAGAGATGGCAGAATGAGAAGGACTCTACTTGATATTGCTGGATCTGATGATGGAAGAAGTGGCTATGAGCCAAGAAATGTTGGCAGCCACTAGCAGCTGGAAAAGTCGGGGAAAGTGATTCCTTCCTGAGTGATCCAGCAAGGAACAGCCCTGTTGACACCTTGATTTTTTTTTTTTTTTTTTTTTTGACCAGTGAGATCCATTTCAGACTTGTAACCTCCAGAACCACGAAGATGATAAATTTATGTTGTTTTAAGTTATAAATTTTGTGGTGATTTGTAAGAGGAAACTAATATACAGGCTTATTGCTGGCTAAAACTAACGGGTGACAATTTACAAGAGAGATGTGCTCTGAAAAGGGCCTTGAGGAGTTGATTCACAATAACTACTTAAGAATGTTATAATACTTCTTTTCAAAGTTTTATTTTCTGTTCACCTACAGATTCAGAATCAGAGGAGACAGTGCAGGTAAAAAATGCCAAAAAGCAATCAGAAAAATTGCCATTGTCTTCTAAACCTAGTAAAATTTTGCGGAAGGATCCTGTTACATACATTTCAGAAACAGGTAAGGGTACTAAATACGTTCAGTTATTTGGAGCCATGCAGTGTTAGGCTCTTGAACTTTTCATTTATGTTAAATTGTATCTCCTTCATTTTGAATTGAATTTCCAGTGCCTTTTTTGTTTTGTTGAATCATATTTATTAGGGGAATGGTCATCTTTGGCATTTTCTGTGGGCTAAAGGGCCAATTAAAGGGGAATTTAAAAAAAATGCTTTATATTGAATCATATTTTGAAGATTTATCTTGAATTATATATTGAATTATTAATGGGTTATTTTAGAACTACTTTTTTATGTAAGTTTTTTTTTTTGATCTTGCATGCTAAAGTCATAATAATATGGTGATTACACAGATATGTGGGCTTTCACCCAGGAGCAATTCATCACTGAGCTACATCCCCATCCCTTTTTATTTTGAGGCAGAGTCTCACTAAGTTGCTTAGGGTCTAGCTAAATTGCTGAGGCTGGCCTTGAACTTGCAATCCTCTTGAGTCTTCTGAGCAGCTGGGATTGTTGGCATGCGCCACTATATCCTGTTCTGTTTTTTTTTTTTTTGTTTTTGTTTTTGTACCACTGAGCTACATCCCCAGAGTTTTTTTTATTATTTTATTATTTTTTTAGTTGTAGTTGGACACAATTAATTATATTTGGTGCTGAGGATGGAACCCAGGGCCTTGCACATACTAGGCAAATGCTCTACCACTGAGCTGCAACCCCAGCCCCACATTTTTTATTTTATTTATTTATTTATATATTTTTTTAATATTTATTTTTTAGATGTAGATGGACACAACACAATGCCTTTATTTTTATGTGGTGCTGAGGATCGAACCCAGGTCCCGCCTGTGCTAGGGGAGCGCTTGACCACTGAGCCACAGTCCCAGCCCCAACGTTTTTTATTTTTTAATTTGAGACTAGGTCTCACTGTTTCCAAGGCTGATTTTGAACTTAAAATCCTACTGAGTAACTGAGGTTTCAGGAATGTACCACTGTGTCTAGCCTTATTTATAATTTAGCACAGATGTGATTTGAATTCTCTTTCTCTGGTGACACTAAAGATTTTATCATTATTAAAAAAACAATGGGAGCTGAGGTTGTGGCTCAGCGGTAGAGCGCTTGCCTAGTGCATGTGTTCGATCCTTAGCACCACATAAAAATAAATAAATAAATAAACAAAGGTATTGTGTCCAACTACAACCATATATATATTTATAAAGGATGGTTTTTGTACTTAAATTTATTTGATCAGTTGTAAGAGTGATCAAAGAACAAAAGACATTTATAAATAATTGTGTACTAATCTTAAAGTTTCATGAAAAGTTGTTTATTTGTATGAGAATCTCTGAATTATATTTTCATGGTGGGGGGAGGCTTCAGATAAGTTAGTGGTAAAGTCATTTTGATTTAGTATTTTTAACTCCTAGAGGAGACCCTAACCAGAATAACATGGCATGATCTATATGTAAGAGCCAAGCCCAGTACCTGACACATTTACTGCTAGGCAGTCAAAAGGAAAAAAAAAACAAAAACAAAACCCTAAAAAAAAGCATACACGTGAACATTATATGAGGCATTTATTGATGAAATTGTTCAAATTGATCAAAGGCAGAATGTAAATGATGTGAACATATTTTTGAAACATTTTTAGCAAACTGATGTATTTCTTTGTTATGACAGAGGCACATTGGAACTTCTAACCTTCTCCTGTTGCTAAATTTGCTCAGACACATTGTATAAATGAGGTCTATTTTTTTAAGGCCCCCCTCCCCTTCTGATCTGGCCACCTTTGTGAAGTTTTGAGTGTGTGGGTGGGATAATGAAAACAAATGGCAGTAGGTTTGTTATGTAACTGAAGGTGGTGTGATCAGGCTTTGCAGTAGCACCCTGAAACAGCAGTGTGTAAACTGCCATGGCCTTCAACTGTGGATCAGACTAGTGTTATCTTGTGATTTTAAGTACACAAAAGGGGTCAGACAGTTTAAGGGTTGATCAGAGATTTTCTTTAACACAGGACTGTTTTTCAGTAGAGGAATTTTTGAATGTGTATACTGAAGAGATGTCTAGCATTTTATCTGAACTTTTTATGACCATTAGGTAATGTTTGTATCATTTTGTAAGTAAGCATTATCTGCTTGTTGTAGGGCAAAGTTTTGGGGTACATTGTACCCATCTAATGTGATGCTTATTATGCAGCTTTCTATTTTTTCCTTAGAACTGAAATATAGGAAAGAAACTAGCTCTATTCTTGCCTGCCTTTATCTTCTTGTACTTTTTTGGGGGGGACGGGGTGGAGGTTACTGGGGATTGAACTCAGGGGCACTCACCCATTGAGCTACGTCCCCAGCCCTACTTTTTTGTAATTTTTTTAGAGATAGGTCTCACTGAGTTGCCTAACATGTCTCTGCCATTGCTGAGGTTGGCTTTGAAGTTTTGATCTTCCAGTGTCAGCCTCTTGAGCTGCTGGGATTATAGGCCTGCGCCATTGCCACCTTGCCTGGCTTGTACTTTTTGTTCTTTGAAATGATAAGTGAATGAGATTGAGACTATTAAAAAGTCCACAGTAAATTAGCATAATACGATCAGACATACAATAAGGGTTTCAGAAAAGAAAAGTACAGTTCTTGAGCCTAACAAATTACCTGAAAATCCATGATCTTAAAACAATTCTTTATTTTTTCTTTAAGCTAGAACTAATTTTCAATACTAGATGTTAAACATATTCGTTTTACATTACTAGTTAAAGTTAAATGAAATGTTTGTGGTAATAAGAGCTTAAAAATACAAATTCTAGGGGCTGGGGATATGGCTCAAGTGGTAGCGCGCTCGCCTGGCATGCCTGTGGCCTGGGTTCGATCCTCAGCACCACATACAAACAAAGATGTTGTGTCCGCTGAAAATAAACATAAAATATTAAAAAAAAAAAAAAAAGCGAGACCTAACCAACTCAGTTAGGCCCTATTAAAAAAAAATACAAATTCTAATCTAAAATAACATGATTTATTTAGAGTTTGAAGCATCTTATAAAAAGGTATTATATAACATAATTTGGTTATAAAAATCTGTTAGTTCCAAAATATAGTTTTTGTTTACTATTCCATACTGTATCTTTTATTTTATGCTCATCTTTTTTATTCTCATTTAAAAAACTCAACCTTTGATGTTTTTCTTGTAGTATAGCATAGCCTTGGTTAAATATTTTTTTTTTCTTTTTTCTTTTTTGGTACTGAGGATTTAACCCAGGGGCTGTGTACCACTGAGCCACATTCCTGGCCCTTTTTATTTTTTATTTTGAGATAGGTCTCACTAAGTTGCTTAGGGTATCACTAAATTGCTGAGACAGACCTTGAATTTGTGATCCTCCTGTCTTAGCCTCCCAAGCTGCCGGTATTCCAGGGTGCATCACTGTGTTGGGCTACCTTGCTTAAATCTTTACCTATTTTATCTTGTCTTTGTTTCTAGATATGTAAAAGGGGGATGTTACTAGTACCTACATCAGTGAGTGGCGTTATATCAATTGATTAATACCTGAAAAGTTCTTAAAAATTGGGACTGACACATAGTAAATTCTGAATATGTTTTGACTCTATTCATAAACCTATGTCTACGTTTAAAGGCAGATTCTGCTTTTGTTTAGGTACTTAGTGCTTTCTGTTGATTATGCGATTATGTTTTAGAACTTTGGAAATGGTCTTTGACTCACTTTTGTTATAGATGTGCACTGTTCAATATGGCACCTACTAGTTACATGTGACTCTTGATCACTTGAAATGTGATTACTCTCAAATGTGTGTGTTGTGAGAGTAAAATACAGACATCGCACAGCAAAGGAAATAATCAGCAAAACGAAAAGCCAACTTAACTGATTGGAAAAAATGTTTGCAAGCCGCATATCTAAATAAGTGTTAAATATCTAAAATTTATAAAGAACTCATACATCTCAGTAGTAGAACAGCAAATAACCCAATTAAAAAAATGAGCAAAGGACCTTACTAGACATTTCTCCAAAGAATACTAAGAATGGTCAACTGATTATGAAGGTACTCAACAACATTAATCATTAAGGAAATGCAAAACCACTGTGAGATATCATTTCCTACCTGTTAACGTAGCTATTATCTAAAAGTTAAGAGATTAAAAAATGTAAGGAGTGTGTAGAAAAGGGAATACATTTACATTATTGGTAGGAATATAGATTGGTACAATTTTTATGGAAAACAGTTTGGGAATTGCTAAAGAAATTAAAAATATTACTACCAGTTAGCTCAGCAATCATTCTTCTGGACATATATCCAAAGGGAACGAAATCATCACCTTGTAAAGATATCTGCACTCCCACATTTGTTAAAGCATTATGCATGATAACCAAGACATGGAAACAAACAGATAAAGAAATTGTATATATGTATACAATGGAATATTCAGCCTTCTTTGCAAGAAGGTGATATGGGCATATGCCACTTGGAGGACATGTTAAGTGAAATAAACCATGTGCATAAAGAAAAATATTGCATGATTTCCCAGAGTGAATAAAACAGCAATTACCAAGAGGGTAGAGGGGGAAAACGGGGAGATACAGGTCAGAAGTTACAAAGTAGCAGATGTGTACTATGAACAAAGTCTAGAAATCTGATGCATAAAAGAGAACTCAGCTAATCAAATTGTATTTGGGATTACTGCTGAACGAGTAGATTTTTGTTGCTCTTACCACAAAAACAGACCAAAAAAAAAAAATGGCTAACTATGTGAGATGATAGATATGTTAATTTGCTTCACTGTAAAATCCATTTTACTGACTGTATGAATCACATAATTTTTGTATGCCTTAACTATACACAATAAAATTTATTTAAAAAAAGATTTCAAAGACTTCCTACAAAAAGGTAAACTATCTTACTGGCTTTTTAGTATTCATCCCATGTTGAAATGATAACAATTTGGATATATTTGATTAAGTAAAGTAAACCATTGGTAAAATTAACTTTACTTTTTGCTTTTTAAATGTGG